TTTAGGAGCCAAGTATCTCTAAATATTATTTATTAAAATAATGATGCTTCCTATGCATTTTAGTAAATCTGTTTTTTAATCACCATGCACTCACTTTTTTTTTTCTTTGAGACAGAGTCTCACTTTGTCACCCTCAGTAGAGTGCTGTACCATCATAGCTCACAGCAACCTCAAACTCTTGGGCTCCAAGCGATTCTCTTGGCTCAGCCTCCCTGGTAGCCCAGTCTGACACTCACTTATTTTCTTCAGTTTATAATTTCTATGTAACAGCCATTAAACAAATAAAAACTGCAGTATTAATATAAGGTCATTATAAAAGTTCTTCAGAATTTAAACATGTTTCTCTAAAGAAAACCCATCAGCTTTAATTATCAATGCAATTTGGATTTTGGAAGTTTTTCTACAAAGACTCCACAGACCACTAAAAGCACAGAAGTAAACATCTTTAAACTCCCAGCAGAAGAGTAACATTTAAAAGAAAATCATCATGCCTCCTATACCACTAGAGCCAGTCCAGATACCAGTCAGTGATTACTAAAGGCTGGGTGGCCAGGGAGTGGGGCAGAGGACACACTGTCTCCTGTCACAGCGGAATTCCAGGTCTAATTCAAGGGCGTGTGTGTTTATACACAACCAGGCTGTGCAGTGCCACCATACCTCACTGCCAGAACTCAGAACTGCTATTGGAAAAGACAGACCTCGAACCTTAAAGGAAGTATGCTGTTTGTTTTGGCTGGAGTACTTTATAGGGAGCAGATAAAAAGATGGCATGTGTGGGCAGGAAGTGAGGTTGCAGTGCCAGCACCTCAGCCCAGAAGAGATATGAGAGTCGTGGGGAGTCTAAGCCGAGGCAAGGATTCATACTGATTGCTAAGATTCTTTTTTCCTAACAACTAGCTCTTTATACAATTTCACTTGGCTTGGGTGGGAAAAAAAATCTTTTGCCTCAGATGCCACAGGCATAGTGCTGCCTCCAAGTGAGAATAAACTATGGCTTTTCACAGCCCCTCCAAGATCTGAGATTCATGTTTTCATGGAAAATATTGAGAAATATTCCATTAGAAACAAATCTGCTCTCACAGCATATTACATGTTTCCTGTGTTTTTCTTCATTATCACCAAAGACATTCCCATAAAAACCAAAAACAAAAAAAGTATTTTCCCAGAGTTACCAGATTTTTCTACATTAATTTGCTTTTAATTTCCAAACTGCCTTTTAATGACATCATACTGAGCTTCTAGGGTCTTTCTAGTGATGTCATAAATGTCTCTCCGAGAAAATTCTTAGGCTAACAAATTCAATTATAAGCAAAAGGAGTTGACCTCATATGGTGTGATTTCAAAGTTTCCAGGAAGGCCCAGCAGTCAACTCTACACCTGAATCCCGCCAAAGCAGCCCGTAATCTGCTGGCTGGTGGTGAAACAGCAGAACTACTAGGCTGACAGTTTGAACCAGCAAAGAAATAAGTGTGACTGCAAAATTTCCAGTAAGGCCGCCATCAGCAACTAACTCCCCCCCACCCCGTCCCCCCCACATGCCCCCAAACCCTCCCTACCTGCCAGCGGCACTCAAAGAGATTAACTACAGCTTCATTCTTTTAAATTTAATCTGTAATAAAATGCAATTGCTTCTTTCATGAATTTCCATTATAATATGATCCAATTCCAGATCCTTTCCTAACAGGTTTTTTAAAAACAAAAAATTACCCCCTACTGTATTGTCCTCTCCCTTGTACCCTCCTCTCCCAGAAGCTAGAGCTGGACTCTCTACCTAGAAGCTGAGCTCACCCCCAGTGAGCCCAATCATGACTTTGGGTAGAAATAATTTGCATGCTAAGCCAATATTCCCTGTATCACAGTGTCTGCCAGCTCACCTCTGTTAACAGGTACCAGTGCCTCTTATTCTCCGGATCCAGTCTCTCCCTCACCCTGGTGTTCTGCAAACCATCTCTGGCTCCTTCTGGCCATCTGAGTTCTCATCCCAGTATCCTGCCCAGAATCCACTTACTCTAGGAACAGAAATTCACCGTACTCTTGCCAATACTGTCCCCCCTCATGTAAATCCACAGAGCAGGGCAATAAAGAACTCAAGCTCTAGAGTCACACATAACAGGAATGAAAATTCTAACTATGGGAATTTTCCACAGACCTCAGCTTTCTCACGTGTATCTTCCTCATACTCACTAACAGAGAGAAGAGAATGAATGAGAGCTGAATAAATGTTAGCAAGATAAAGACATTTGTGCCAGCTGCAGTAGCTATAATCCTAGCACTCTGGGAGGCTGAGCCTGGTGGATTGCTTGAGCTCAGGAGACCAACCTGAGCAAGAGCAAGACCATCTGTACTAAAAATAGAAATACTAGCCAGGTGTTGTGGCAGGCAACTGTAGTCCCAGCTACTCAGAAGGCTGAGGCAGGAGGATCACTTGAGCCCAAGAGTTTGAAGTTGCTATGAGCTATGACATCACAGCACTCTACCAAAACAAACAAACAAAACAGAAATAAAAAAGATAAAGATATTAATCACAGGGACAGTGAGGATGAAATGATTGATAAACATACTGCCTGTGTGCACACTCTACATTGCTGTGTTCCACCTACCTGGACTGAAGCATTCACTAACTCATCCTAGAACTCAAATGAAGGCTTTTTTACTTTTTGCTTGTTATACACCAGTCATAGTCAGTGAGCCTGGACTGACTCTCCTTCCAGTCTCTGCAGCTTATCCTTCTACTTCAGAGCTTTCCAAGCCCTAGGAAGGCATTTGGTTCCCAGCCCTGGTCCTCATTCTCTTCTGTGCCATTTCAATTAATTGGCCAGGTGTCCCTGTGACTCCTAAACTAAGTCATCCATGGTATCAGGGTGTTCAGAAGAGGACAAAGAATAGGATGGCTGGGGAAAGCCAAAGATAAACAAGCTCCACAATTCTGTGTTAGTTAAAGGCATTCTTGAAATCACTGTAAGGAGTGTCTGTGTCACTTATCTCCAAGCATCATCATGAATAAACATAGAGCTCCCATTGAGAAGAGCAATAGCCTCCAATCCTTCCTGCCGAGTCCAGTTACACGGACTAAAGAAAAGCAGGGGAGAGGCGAAGGCCGTGACTAGACACACGCACACACGCATGTGTGCACTGCTACACAGACATACACGCTCCTTACACACCACAAGTTAAACTCAGGTGGCATCAAAGAGGGGATTTTATGTATGTTCACCTACTCAGATTTTTTTTACAGATTCTATTACAAATACTTAGTGAGGGACACATTCTCAGCCAATTCCTGGAGCTCCAATGTTAACTCAACCAGAGGCTCAACTGCTTTCTTACTAAACTGAAGACCTCAGTCTTCTTCTATATAGGTGACACTCATCTAGTTTTTCCAGCATAACTTTTTTTTAAGAGATAGAGTAGATTCTGAAGATCACATTCATTTATTATGGTACCACAAGTAGGTGGAAGATTCTACAAACCCAGCTATTTTAAAAGATTTTCTTTCTCCCTTTACCTGAAGTTTTTCCATACTGTTCATAAACAAAGACTAGGATTTGTTTCTAAATGGTTTAGAATTCCAAAGACCAATTTCAGGTTGTAATGGTCAGAGAAATGCAGTAACTAAAAATCACTGATCAAATGGTTAAATCATTTCATTTTAACTCAGACTTGAATCCTCAAAATATACTCATTTCTCAAGAAAAATTTTTCTCAATTTTGTTGTTACGGATACCAAAAACAGAGTGTGTTGCACAGTGGGACTATAATGCAGCACACTCTGATCCGATACAAGGCAAAAGAACCTCCTATTTCTATGCAGTTCATTACGGGGAAACTAAAACAAAAGGGCATTTCCCCTACTTTGTTCATGTATTGATAAGTTAGTACAGGAATTTTAAAAAAGGCCTCCAATCAGATTCCAATTCAACCAATAACCTAATAATGACCTCATTTACATAATCCCAGTCACAAAACACAAAGAACTATCACACACAGTGCCTTCTAACACAGCTGTGTTCACACAGTCACGTCACATATGGATTGATATTCCTACATAGAACTTCACATAAATCGGAGTATCTACGTCAGTTCTTTCCAAAGTAAATTATAGAGAAAGGGCATTAGTATCACATCACATGAGCTAGGAATTAATGAATGTCCAAGGTGCTATACTTAACTGCACCAAAGGTGGTTCACCTCCACCTGGAACTCATTTAAGATGGCAAGATGCTGGACTCTGAGCTAATGCTGTAACGTAAAAAGACTTTGAGATATCTTGGGAAGAGGCACTTTACATGTGGGAGGAAAACGAATCATGGGCAGCGGGGGTGGGGGGGGGTGGGGGCAAATGGCAGACCTGTTGGAAAGCTTTCCAGGATGGCCTTGCAGGTCCTGCCTCCTGGGATTCCCTCCACCATGCAGTTCCCTATCTTGAGTATGGGCTGCATTTATAGGCTCCCTCTTGCTTTCAAGAGGCTGGCCCTGATGAAGCTACCTGACATAGCATAAGCTTCCTGCCCATGCCCACGGAGAAGCCTGCTTAATAAGGAACTGAGGGAAACCTCCTGCCAATAGCATCCAGAAAACTGAATCCTGCCAACAATCCCTACTAAGTCTGGAAGCAGATCTGTCTTAAGGTGGTTGCAACCCAAACCCACACCTTGACTTTGTCTCTTTGAGAAGTCAGAGACAAGATGTGCCCCAAGGCCTACTCCACAGAAACTCAAGATAATAAATGTTGTTTTAAGCCACTAAATTTTAGAGTATTTGTTACTCAGCGATAAATAACTAACAGATACCTAGTACAGATTTCTCCACCAGAAGTATCATTTGGATAGCATAGCTTCACAATATATACTTGAGACTATGTGACAAAAAAATAAAAATAAAGATCCAAGAGATATTTTACTTCTCTGCAGGCTCACAGAGAAAAAATTACTTAATATAGGAAAAGAAAATAATCATCAGAAAAGTTCTTTAATTAAAATGTTCACCCAAAACTTCCTTACCTTGAATGCACTGAAGTGTTCCATCCTCTGCTCTTATGGTAAAAGTCTCACCTGGATTAACTTGAACGAGAATAACCTGCCAAAATAACACATTAATTTCAATTTAATGCTAGAACATCTGGGATACTTGTTCAAGTTTTATTACCTAAATTTATATACTAGACAGGAAGTATGTGATATAGACGCTTGTATAAACCGAAAACTTCAGGTGTAAGTCTTTAACCTGGCTCTCACGAGGTCAATATGTGCATCTGAATTTAGCTAAGTGAATTCTATGTTGTCTAAAAAACTCAAATCTTAAGAAACCTTTCCTTGGAGAAGCATAATTCCTTTTTCTCTTTCATGAATTTAGAAACAACACTTAAGAGAAAAGATCAGAAACTATACTTATAGAGAAAACTTAGTTCCCATACTGTAGCTGACCTGGGTTACAGGATTCTACCATGTGATAACAGAAAGCGATTTATAAAGCAAAGTTTTGAAAAACAACTATCTGTGTACAGGATCTTGAAATAATAATGAACAGTATAAAACATATGAATATTTTAAACAGGCTCCACCAAACATTCCAATGTTTAAATCTGTTATCTACAGTCAGGGTTCTAGTTACATGAACATGCATATTAACAGTAGTAGGCAATTTCAAAAAGACTGCATTCTTTCAGCAGCCTCACAGTTACAGTACTAATCAAAGGATAACAAAAGGAAAACTTACTAATTATATCATAACCCAACCTTAAAATCTGTAGTAAAAAATATCACAAGGTACAAGGTTAATGCTATTAAAATAATCACTATATATTTCTAGAAATTGACAGGATGTCTGTGTCACATTTATCTCATAGTTCTTAGAGCACACCTCGTTCCTCTGGGCTGGGCCTCCAGCATAGTGTTTTCCTCTACTATAATGCTCATCCTGTGTGCCCTCAGCTCCCCTCAGTGAACACAATTCATCCTCTCCAGCTTAAGATGTAGCATCTGACCCTCCAATACATCAGTTTCCCCAATACATATTCTCAAAAAACAAACAAACAAAAACCCAAAATAATACCAACCCTACTTCTTCCTGGAATTGCAATTAGCTAAGCAACTATTTTCTGTCTTTCCTTCTTTAATCAAGGCACTTTAGAGATAAGATATGACTTGTGTGGCCCCATACCAAATGAATGAAAGTCTTAAAGCATAAGGAAAACAATGATAATTATTTCAACTTAGAAATTAATCTTTCATATGATTAAATTTTAAAGTTTATTCCGTATACCACAATTTACATTTTATAAAGCTATTGATATCAAAAGTCATTCCATCTTTATCACATTATCTGCTTACCATATTGCACAAAAAAAGTAACTTCCCTAGCAGTCACTAACACAAGGCCACAATTCAAACAATGGCCGGTGCCTTCCATATCCACTTAAGCCTTCCCCCACCCCACTTACTAGTTCAATTCCTGACCCCGCCCCACTTCTTCAGGGAGAAAGATAGATAAAGGGCTTTAAAGCATCATAGTAAAATACAACACCTCTTCAAATGTTTAGCTCGTATAATTTTCACTGCTGAGTTGCTATGGCAACCAGATTATAATCTACCAAGTTACCTCAGAAACCAGGCAAATCTCCTGTGTCCCAATTTTTCTTAGTAAGAACTGAAGTCATTATTCAAACAAACCATAATCATCTCAGCACCAAGATATTTTAAAAGAAACCATGTTAATATAGAGGAAGGCTGACCACCTTGCTGTTTTCACTATCAAGAAGGCAGAGATAAAAATAAGTTTTGACATGCACCAGCCTGGAGCCCAGTCCTGCCGGCAGATGTGAACGAGCCGGCCTTGCATCAGGCAGCCCGAGGAGTGTGATTCACCAGCAGACTCTGGCACTCAACCTGTTGTGTTGTACAAGTCAGTCAGTCTGTCGGTGTCTCTCGCCCTTCAGCTACAAACAGACACAACTGCTACAAATTCTCTGAAATATAAAACACAACACTATCCAAACCTCATTTTTTGTCCACTCACTAAGCATTTCCTGCTTTTCCAAAGTCAGCATTAAAACAATTCATATGTACATTCTGTGTCTTGTCAGAGAAGCATAAAATACAAAGACTTTAACAACTAATATTTTTTCCCTAGAGATATTAAAATACAACCCTGCCAGCCAAATCTTAGGAACATAGTTTAGGGTCCTATTGCTACACCAGATCTGTTTCAAAACCGTTAGGGCTCCATGAGCCAGAAAGCAGTTTATCAAGGCCTAATGAAAATGAGTGACCATTCTTCCAAAGCCTAAAGCAACAATAAAACAAGAGTTAGATATAATACAAATGAGCAAACCCAGCACCCTGGGAATGTTTTACCCAACAGGATACTGAAACAAGGTACAGCACGTTTCCTTGCTGGCATAAATCCCTTTCTAACTCTAACTTTGTTTTTCACTCATTAAAAGAAGAAAAGGAAAGCAAATTTTACAATATAAAATTTGGGTGGCTGATTAACCAGGTATTATTAAGAGTATCTAAGACTATTCCTTGAGGCAAATCCCTAATTTATGCTTCAAATAACAAATTTCCAGCCACATGACTAAGCAATCACTGTAATGTATTAGCCCATTAAAAAAGCTTCTACTGAGGGAACGGCACTAACCAACCAAAGATGAAATATCACATTTGTAGCCATCATCAAAGGTAAATCCAGCACCCAGACAATCAAGATAACAAACCTTGCTGGGAGAAAGATCTCCTTTTACTTCTGAAGCATTCCCCACCTGCCACACTTGTGAAGCCTGTCTTACTCTTAGCTGTTTCACATACAAATGAACACTTCCAGGAACCAACATTCATGATTATCCAGTAGGGATCTTTATAAGGAAAAATGATACAATCTAAAAGCTACAAAAGAGTTCCCTGTTAATAAAGATCCAGTCCAGGAATATCTAATAACTTTTAAAAGTGACCTCTGACTACGTGGTACCACCTATCCCTGATGCTACTATTTCTTGCACACACACACACACACACACACAGACACACACACAGGTTCCCAAACCCCCAGCTCCTCCCAGGCCCAGAGTGTCCATCCACACACACCTTTGAGACCCTGGTCTCTGTACCATGTAAAGTAAGTATTACAGTAGAATCTCCACTGTTGACCACTTCAAGTTCACCTATTCTTCTAAGTTTGGACATGCACCACATGTACGCGTTCCTTATGTTGGCCACCTCTATGTGTTGACCAGTTTATTACAGGTGTCTGGGTGGTCAACTTACAGAGGTTCTACTGTATTTGTTTTCTGAGTCCCCTGACTTTTCTCCAAATCAGGAAAAGAGAAGTAATGGATCTGCAAATGACCAAGAATTATCTCTGTGGCAATAATATACACAAAGAAAACGTCCTGTGATCAAAAATATGAGCATGTGAACGAGAAAAGACCTGGAAAATGATGTAAAGTACTGACTGCCGTCATCCTGCTCATCGAAAGCCGGAATCCAAAGGCGACAGGAGAAGAACACACAAGACCAGGAAGGGTCCAGGGAGATTTAAACAAACACTAGGATCAAGGCACAAGGACACAGAGGGCAGGCGGAGCTCGTCGCTGCTTAATATAAGCAGTAGGATGAAACGGTCTTATTTTGTTTCTTCCTGCACTTTAGAACTCTGTTTAAAATAAAGAGCAAGAATACTCCAACATTTCAATTTTTTTTTTTTTTTTTTCTGGCCAGGCCTGGGTTTGAACCTGCCACCTCCAGCATATGGGGCCGGTGCCCTACTCCTTTGAACCACGGGGGCCGCCCCCAAATTTTTAATATTTAAAAACTATCATCCTTGACAGACTGAATTAGTACAGCATGACTCACTTTATCAACTCCTTTTTCCAGGTTTTTTCTACAGATTTTTTGTTTTGTTTTATTTTTTTGTTTCACTTTGTCACCCTCAGTAGAGTGCTATAGTGTCACAGCTCACAGCAACCTCCAGCTCTTGGGCTTAGGTGATTCTCTTGCCTCAGCCTCCCGAGTAGCTGGGACTACAGGTGCCCACCACAACGTCCAGCTATTTTTTGTTGCAGTTTGGCTGGGGCCAGCATTGAACCCACCATGCTTGGTATCTGGGGCCGGCGCCCTACTCTCTGAGCCACAGGTGCCGCCCTTTTCTACAGTTTTTATAAAAGTAGCTACTATTCCCTGAATCCATACAGGTAGTATTATCAACCAGATTTTAGACATGGTAAAACCAAGGCTCAAAGAAGACAGTAACTTGTCCAAAGTCACAAAACTAGCAAGTGACTGAGTGTGCCCTGAACCCAGCTCTGTCTAATTTCTCCACTCTCACAACACCACTCCTGCCCCAACAGGCCTGGGGCAGGAGTGAGACTCCACAGAGTCTATTCATTATGGAAATACTTTTAAAACTACTAAAATGAGAGAATGCAGTTAACTGGGTCAAAGGCGCATCCTCAAAGATAGGGGTCAAGTTCTCTTCCAGGGCATCTGCGCTCACTTCCTGAAGCAGAACCTCCCCCCTCTTATCAGCGCATGGCAGTTAGGTGGCAAGGAGTCCCTTGATTGACAACAAATTGGGCAGGATTATTTATCATCGGGTTCTGGTCAAATCCTCTAATTCACCTAGACTCCTAAGACAAACCAACGAGGCAAGCACTCTATTCTCACCATCAGCAGATGCCATTTCTCAAGGCCTGATAGGAACCGACATCTGGGAAGATCCATCAGAAGCTCCTGTGCTCTGTCATTAACAACAACAAAAAATACTGAAATGGTTAAGGGGTAACCAAGGAATGGAAAATCTGATGAACTAAGGAAGGGGAACAGTTTTATGCATTGAAGTCACACCATCTTGTGCCTGCAGAAAATATATACAAAAGAGTTTAACAAGTGCATTTCATGAAATAAATGCCCTTAGAGAAATTCCTACCATACCTCAGTCTTAAAGCAAATATTAAGGAGTGCCCAGAGTGAGTAAGGGTATTCTTCTATACAGAGAGGACAAAGCCTCAAGCCAGGTGTCCAGCTTGCTTATCTGTCATATCAGATATCTCCAGACCAGACCATTTTTGCTAATCAGCTTTC